CTCTCCTGTGCTGTCCCTCCACTCTCCCAAACATGATGTCCCTCTCCAAGGACCAGTCCCTCCTTGCAACATGCCCAAAGTATGTCAGACAAAGCTTCAAAATCCTTGACTCCAAGGAGCATTCTGGCTTCACCCTCTCTAGGACAAACCTGTTTGTTCTCCTAGCAGTCCATGATATATTCAAGTCTTCTCCAGCACCACAAACTCAAAGGCATCAATTCTCTTTCTATCATCTCTATTCACTGTCCAACTCTCCGATGCATAGCACATAATTCAAAGACTATAGCCTGGATCAGGCACACCTTAGTCTCCAGCCTGATGTCGTTTCACAGGACAGAGCAGGGTTTAGGGCTCTTGTATATTGGGTTGCTATGAGTTGCAAGTGACTTGACAGCAAATAACAACAACATGCATCTGAAAGTTATACAATGAGAATGAAAGAATAAAAAAAGTCAATTGATGCCTTTGAATTATGGCATCGATGAAGGGTACTGAATATCCCATGAATTGTCAAAAGAATAAACAAGTCTCTCTTGGGGGGAGCGCAACCAGAGTGTTTCTTAGGGACAAGAATGCCGAAACGTCATCTCACATACTTTGGGCATGTTATCAAGAAGAGCCAATCCCTGAAGAAGACATCAGGCTGGGAAAAGTGGTGAAAGAGAGGACTCCCTTCAATGAGATGGCCTGACACAATGACCATGGACTTGAGCTTGTGGGAGAGTTTGAGGACAGAACAGGGCAAGGTTCAAAGGGTCGCTATGAGTCACAGTCAAGTGCACACAACATCAACACTCCTCTTCCTTACATTTTATTACTTTTTGGATACTATTTCAGTTCTAATGTGCTTTCATGGTTATTGGAAGCTTGTAAAGATTATTTCTGGGAGTGGATGAGTCAGACGTGAGTAAATAAAGATAAAGCCACAGAAACCATCATGAACTCTTTGAAGTGGGAGGCAAGTAAGAGAGCATCTTGTCCAAGGTCCGAGCTGTTCTTCTGCCTGGGAGCTGCACTCCTCTACCCACAGAAGGGGCTGTTCTCCATGGGAAGGCGGTAGATATGTGTTAGCTGTGTATGTACCCTCATCTCAGGCTTAAGGGAATTAGATGCCTTCTTTTCCCTGGGGCATCCTTAGGAGACCTCATGGATTTCTGATTGCTCTTAGGAAAAACAGCACCCAGCTGCCAAGCATAGCCTATCTGACTGCGCCTCCCTGACCTGCCTCTGATCCAGCTGAATGTGACCCTCCTTCATACTTGATACCAATTCTTTTCTCCTCAGGCTTTGGCCTCACTCCCATCCTCCAGCCCCCCACACCCCCAGACAATACATTTCCTGTTTGCTTTACCTGGAATCTCTCACTGGCAGGTCTTCCCTGGGTTACCTGTTCTGATTGTGCAGTTGTAATGGTACCTTCACAGGAGGTCCTCCCCGACTCCCAGCGTCATGAAGATTCCCAAGCTCCGAACCTCATTCAGTCCTTCTGCGACCTCTGGAAGTGCCCAGGTACCTGAGAGGCTGCAAACGCCCTGAGAGCAGGGACCTTGCCTCATGTGTTTGTCACTGTGTCCTCTGCACTTGTAGCTGGGCCAGCTGTCCACTATCTGCTTTCTCCCTGAACCAGCAGCTGTAGGGGGTCAGCTTTCGGCGGGAGCCACAACACTTACAGCAGGAATGGGGAGGACCTCTTCGTATGCATGCGTGGAGCTCATCACAGCTGCACAGAGTGGGGACGCCTGGCCTCTAAAGACAAGAGCCCACCCATTCACATCGTGCTCTGGGGACATCAAACAGCTGTGACTTCAGGCCAGTTGTGCAGCCTCAGCTGGGAACTGAGTGGGAGAAATGAATGGCCTTGACTCTGGCTTCCAGAGTCGACACCAACCTTCAGGTCCACACCATAGAAGCCTTATGCCCTTGAGGACTTTGGCCAGCCCATGTGGCTTTGCAAAGGAATCAAGTTCAGGACCCAGAAATGCCCATGAAGGTCTGTCCAGATGAGGCTAGAAGACCTTGGCTGAAGGAGTGCTTTGACTTGCTTGGTTCAGAGCACTGCTATGCCTCAAGCGTTTGAATTGATAGATAATTTCAATTTATAGATAAAGAGCAATGACATCAGGCTAAAACTAAGGTCTTCACAGTTACTTGCTATGCATCAGGGAGCTGGACAGCGACTAAGGATGACAGAAGAAGAATTGATGCCTTTGAGTCATGGTGCTGGAGAAGAGTATTGAAAATGCCATGGACTGCCAGGAGAACAAATAGGTCTGTCTTGGAAAGAGTGAAACCAAGTTTCTTGTTGGAGGCTAGGATTTTGAAGCTCCTTCTTGCACACTTTGGGCATATGGCCAGGAGGGACCGGACCTTGGAGAAGGACATCATGCTCAGGAGGGTGGATGGACAGTGCAAGAGAGGAAGACTCTAGGTGAGATGGATTGACACAGTAACTGGGGCAATGACGGTAGGTGTGTCAGAGGCAATGAGTCTGGCTCAGGATAGGGCAGGGTTCAGAGCTGTTGTATATAGGGTTGCTGTGAGTTGCAGGGGACTTGATGGCATATAACAACAATCACAACAGCCATCCTTTAGGGAGCTCTGGCGGCCTAGGGGTAGAGTTACACTGTTGAGCCAAAGTCACCCAGTTTGAATCCACCAGCTGCTCCATGGGAGAAAGACGGGCAGTCTCCTCTCATGTGATTTACAGCCTCTGAAAACCTGTTGGAGGGCCAGCAATGGGCTGGTTCTGACGTGACAGTACATAGCATGCAGGAGACGAGTAAGTAGCGAACACAGAAACAGACATCCTTGAACTGCTGTTGGGCTATATAGAAGGACGCACACGTCCTGGGGAAGGGGAGGTAGGAGCAGAGAACGTAGCCAGAAGGGGCCAGGATGCTGATGAGGAGAGAGTGGATAGGTGCTCATCTCAGAGCCAAGGGACCCTGTGCAAGGATGGACAGACTGTAAGGACGGACAGTTAGCATGGAGACCCACCAGCTTTTTCCTCCTCTTGCCCTGGGACCCCGGCGCCCTCACCATTTGCTTGGAGGCCACAGAGCTCATGTTGACGTGGCTGCAGCCCGCGTGGCAAGGGGAGAGGTACTCGATCTCGTCAGCTCCACAGACGGGGTGGAAGATGTAATCTGGGCATGCGCAGTCCTTGTTGCAGGTGGGAGGCAGTGGAGGTGTGGAACTGGATGGGCTGCCAGGGAAACAGGAAACGGGAGTCAAACAAAGCAAGATCAAGGGACAGGTCGTATATTCCAACACAGAGGGAGCTGCAGGCCCCTTCACGTGCCCATGTGGCTTTGTTTGTGTTGGGCTTGTGCCCCTGAAGCAGCAGGAGACTTGTCATTGGCTGGAGGTCGCTGCTCCTTCCACCACTTGGAGCCCCACTCATCAGTTTCCTGGACCAAATCCAAATCAGCATCATTTTAGAAAACTGTGGCTACCAGATTCCTGGAAGAGCAGGACTCCTAGACCACCAACAAAATGGGACTGTAAGGAGAGGCATGGCACGTGGGACAGGAAAGCCGGTGGTAGTTATTTCATTTCTCTCTCCTGTGCTCGCTCAGGGGTAGAGCTGAGGTCACTAAGGCAATATGGGACCTAGTGGACACTCTGTCTCTTGGGTCTATGTCGACCTGGCCCAGGTCATTCGATGTCCTTGAACTTCAACCAAGAGTATTTCACTTGGCTAATCTCGGGGATCCCACTATTCTCTTGTTGATATTAATGGCATCTTTTGGGAAAAGCTGGGATTGGATCAGCAAACCACAGGCTAGAGCTTTGCTAAAATAATTATATTAATGTCATTGTTGCTAGTTGATATCAGTCAGCTTCTGTTCTACATACACACACACACACACACACACACACACA